TGGCTCCTGACCATGCAAGACCGCTTTACGAAGTGGATTGAGGTCACTCCACTGCGGAAGGCCATGGCGACCAACGTTGCGAAAGCCTTCACCGAGCAAGTGATCTACCGCCACGGGTGCCCCGAAAGATTGCTGACCGATAACGGGACACAACTCAAATCGGCACAGTTAGCCAAAGTACTGCAAGCCTTTGGCATCCAACACCGTACTACGCCGCCGTACACGCCGCAGTGTAACCCGGTCGAACGAGCAAATCGGACGATAAAGACCATGAACGCCCAGTACGTAGGAAAGAACCAGAAGGCCTGGGACGAGCACGTACCCGCCCTCCAGTACGCCTTCAACACCGCATGGAATGAGGCGACCGGGTACACTCCGGCCTACCTCAACCACGGCCGAGAGTTAGCCCGACCGCACCCCGAAGACCGGCAGCCAAGGGGCCGCCGCCGCACCAGAAACAACCGAGCGACATCTGAGTGAGGCACACGAGCTCGTGCAAATTCACCTGGCCCGAGCATTTCAACACCAGGAACGCCACTACAACCTACGGCGACGAGACTGGCAACCACGAATTGGGGAGCTCGTGTGGAGAAGAAGCCACCCCCTCTCGAATAAGGCCAATGCGTTTAACGCGAAATTAGCCCCAAAATTTGTGGGGCCCTTGGAGGTACGCCGGATTATATCTCCGGTAATCGTGGACCTGCGAGATACCCGGGGGCGCTGGCACCGCCACGTCCACATACAAGAGCTCAAAGAGCACCCGGACAAGGCCGAAAACAACCAAGGCACGAGACGGAATGATCCCGACCGACCGAGGGGACCACCCCCAAACAACGCCGGCCCTGGCCATTGACCACCGTCAGTACCGCCGAACACCATCCGAGGGCGCTCGACTAGCCGCGACAACAACCCGCGCCACACCCCGCGAAGGGTATAAAAATCCGCGAGCCGGGCGATCGAGCGATCAATCGGCCATTAGTCACGATGCCGACACAAGCCGAGAGAGAACAGCTGGAAGCGCTATTCGAAAGGTGGTCATCCGACAGCGACCTGTCGGATGTGCCGGAGCCACCTCCCGCCGAGCCACGACCGAGCAGCACGGGACGACCGCCAACCGACGTCACCCGCCGACCGCCGCCACGGGTAGGCACGTCGATCCAAAGGGGCGACGCCGAAACCAGGAAGAAAATCCTCCTCCTGGCCACCCCGCCGCCGCCACCGGATCGCCGCCGGCTGAATCGCGGGCGAGCATCGGCCCCGCCGCCACGGCCCGTACGGCCCAGCCCGGCCGTAAAAGAGACGCCGCCACCAGCAGAGCCACGACCACGGCCACCGGCGCGAGCACCGGCGACCACGCGCCCGACACCGAGGCCGGCTCCGGCGCCACAGCCCACCACGGCCAATAGGGAAACACCGCCTCGGCCAGTGGGATCGCGGCCGCGACCCCCGGCGCGCGCACCGACGCCAGCCACCGGACGTCCGACGCCGACATCCGACCGACGGATCACCGAAGCCGCCGGCCCGCGCTCTTCGCCATGCGCCGCTGCGGCCCAGCCGATCCGCAGACCGACGGCCGCCGGACGACAGCGACCCGTAGGGGCTCGCCCATCGGAGCCTACCACGGTCCACGTGGCACCCGGGCGGGCCATCAGCGTGCCGCACACCGCCCGACACGTCGAGCGGCGATTCCGCCAGTGGACTCCGGAGGGCCAGTGGGTCCTCCGTTTCAACCACGACGGGACCCTCCGGAGCACCCACCTCAACCGGGCCACCCACCACCAGGCCGCGCCAACACGTGCTACGCCAAAAGGGGGGGGGGGGGATGTAACGGCAGAGTCGTCACCATTATTGTAAATATGTAAATACTGTAAATATGTTAAAAGGTTTCGAATATATATATATATGTATAACCTCACGGTCTCTTCCTGCTAAACCTATCCTGCTTGCGCATGCGCCACCCGTGCTATCTCGCTTGCACGTACGCCACACGTGCTATCTCGCTTGCACGTACGCCACACGTGCTATCTCGCTTGCACGTACGCTACTCGTGCTATCTCGCTCGCACGTACGCCACACGTGCTATCTCGCTTGCACGCACGCCGCTCGTGCTATCTCGCTCGCACGTACGCCACACGTGCTATCTCGCTTGCACGCACGCCGCTCGTGCTATCTCGCTCGCACGTACGCCACACGTGCTATCTCGCTTGCACGCACGCCGCTCGTGCTATCTCGCTCGCACGTACGCCACACGTGCTATCTCGCTTGCACGCACGCCGCTCGTGCTATCTCGCTCGCACGTACGCCACACGTGCTATCTCGCTTGCACGTACACCACACGTGCTATCTCGCTTGCACGTACACCACACGTGCTATCTCGCTTGCACGTACACCACACGTGCTATCTCGCTTGCACGTACACCACACGTGCTATCTCGCTTGCACGTACACCACACGTGCTATCTCGCTTGCACGTACACCACACGTGCTATCTCGCTTGCACGTACACCACACGTGCTATCTCGCTTGCACGTACACCACACGTGCTATCTCGCTTGCACGTACGCCACACGTGCTATCTCGCTTGCACGTACACCACACGTGCTATCTCGCTTGCACGTACGCCACACGTGCTATCTCGCTTGCACGTACACCACACGTGCTATCTCGCTTGCACGTACGCCACACGTGCTATCTCGCTTGCACGTACACCACACGTGCTATCTCGCTCGCACGCACGCCGCTCGTGCTATCTCGCTCGCACGTACGCCACTTCCGGGCAGAGGTTTTCTCAGCCCCGCCGGGTTTTCCGGTTCCCGTACCTTCCGGGCAGAGGTTTTCTCAGCCCCGCCGGGTTTTCCGGTTCCCGTACCTTCCGGGCAGAGGTTTTCTCAGCCCCGCCGGGTTTTCCGGTTCCCGTACCTTCCGGGCAGAGGTTTTCTCAGCCCCGCCGGGTTTTCCGGTTCCCGTACCTTACGGGCTGAGGTTTTCTCAGCCCCGCCGGGTTTTCCGGTTATCCGTTGCAGGCGGAGCTCGACGTGACACTCGGGCCTGCCGGCAATACCCAGCCGCCTACCCTGACAGTAGCAATAAGTGCATGCGAACCACGCCGTAATTATAAGCCGTTAGTGATAAGGCCGCTAGCTATAACCGCGCCGTAATCCTATAGCCGGATAGTAATAAGCTCACTAGTTATAACCGCTCCGTCGAATTACGCCTGCTAGTAATAAGTCCGAATAATTGTAAGTCCGCGCTTGCGAACCGCGCCGTAATTATAAGCCTGCTAATTATAAGTCCGTACCTGCGAACCGCGCCGTAATTATAAAACCGCTAGGAATAAGCCCGACCGGGATAACCGCGTCGCGATTAACCCGCGTGTAAATAACGTCCCCGTAGATACTAAGCGAACGCGCATGTAAATAGCTTCCTAGTTAAGTCAAATCCGCTTCACGCTGCACGCCGCTTCGCGCCGACCGCTTCGCGCTTACGCTTCCCGCTGCGCTTGCGTCTGCCACCCAGCGCACGCCGCCTAACACCGCACGGCCCTGCACGCTACTCTGTACATATTGCTCTTTCAATAAACTATCTTTCTACCTATACTGTGTCTACGCAAGCTTGAATCTCCGGTTACCCGAGCGCGTCGTCGGTTCTCGATGTTTTCGCGCGCCTAACGGCGGTTATATGTTTACGCGTTTCTGATATTCTTTAAAAATGGGCGCTCAGCGCCTCCGCATTTGCCCGACCGGTGTTCGTCGGGCGGCGGACTTCCGGCGGATCGGCGGCCGGGTACGGTCTAGTAACGATGGGGGAATGCATCGTTACACATGAATAGAATATTATTAAACGATGTTTGATATTAACTTTAGTAAGGATTCATGACAGAACTTTTTTTAATAAAATTTGGAATTTTGTTGAGAAATGTTTGTACAAATTCTAATTTTCACAAATTTAAAATATCAAGTTAAATTTTTTAACATATTTTTTTTACATGGATAGAGTATCATTCAAAGATGGTTGGTATTGAATTTGGTGAGAATCGATGGAAAAGTTCATTTTTCATAAAATTTTTAATTTTGTTGAGAAATGTCTATATACATTGTAACTTTCGCAAATTTTGAGATATCAGGTTAAATTTTGTTAGATGGATAAAATATTATTCAAGGATAGTTACTACTGAATATCGTGAGTATCGATGAAAGGGTTTAGTTTTTATAAAATTTTGAATTTCTTGAGAAATGTCTGTACACGTTGTAACTTTCGGAAAATTTGAGATATTGGATTAAATTTTTTTATATGAATATTAAACGATGTTTGATATTGACTTTAATAAGGATTCATGAAAGAACTTTTTTTAATAAAATTTTGAATTTTGTTGAGAAATGATTGTACACATTCTAATTTTCGCAAATTTTAAGATATCAAGTTAAATTTTTTAACATAAATAAAGTATCATTCTTAGATGTGTTATTCCTCGGGTGAGGCACGGTAAATTTCGGGATCGTTGCCGGATTAAGATTTAGGAATCTGGGATGCGTCTGGCGGTTACCCGTAGCACTGGACACTTTTTATGTTAAATAAAACTTTTATTCATTTCAAATGGTCTTAGTTATAATTCGTCCTCGTATTTATTACCTACTCGGGTCGCGTATCGTGTTATCTGACACTCGCGTGCGCGTGTTTGGAGTCGGGTTTACGTCGCGAGACTTGCTCCTCGATCTCCACGATTTTTACTGAGTGTGACTACTCGATATTACAATAATTATCGACACTCGCTGTTGACACTTGCGACTGTTAGCGCTACTACCCGCGTAATATTAATTAAGGATAAAGACTGCCCGCCGATCGTTAGCGATGGGTCTTTTTATTATCTCCCCTTGGTTTCCCAGGAGGGGATCGGTTAGCGACAAGACCATGTGAGGACTGATATCCGGTTTTTATACAATTTTTTAAAAACATAAATTTTTGAATTTAGAAAAAAATATTTTGTGATATCCGAGGTATGATTTTCCAACATTATAAACATGAATGTATGTCAGCCTGATTTTGGCTTGCCAAAGAATTTCTAAAGTTAACATTAGGTTTAAATCGAGCCGATTTTAAAATTCCATTTGGGATGTTATCGAGCTGACTTTCTATCAATTTTCTTTCTAATCGATTTAACGAAATGTGAATTTTTTGAGAAATATCTGTACACACTGTAAATTACAGAAAATTTGAGATATTGAATTAAATTTTTTTACATGAATAGAGTATTATTAAAGGATATTTGATTATTGAATTGAGGATCTGTGAATGAATTTTTTAAAATTAAATTTGGAATTTTTTTAAGAAATCTTTGTACACATTTTAATTTTCGCAAATTTTAAGATGTTGAGTTAAATTTTTTAACATAAATAAAATATCATTAAAAAATTTTTGGTATTAAGATTTTTGGTATTGAATTTGGTGAGGACTGATATCCGATTTATATAAAATTTTTTAAAATATAAATTTTTGAATTTAGAAAAAAATATTTTGTGATATTCGAGGTATGATTTTACAACATTATAAATATGGGTGTATATTAGCCGGATTTTGACTTGCCAAAAAATTTTTAAAGTTAACATTAGGTTTAAATCGAGTCGATTTTAAAATTACACTTGTTTTATATTGCAAAAAAGCTCCGGTTTACGACGAAGAAATTGAAGATGCAAATAAAAAGTTAATACAGTGGATAGATAAACACATTTCATGTGCGTACGATAATAAAAATCCATTGATACGTCTGCAAATACATCGGCATAAACCAACATGTTACAAAGGTCGAAAAAATAAATCTTTATGTCGATTCAATATTCCAATGTTTGTTATGAAAGAAACTATGATTCTCAAACCATTAGAAGAAAATGAAAAAAATAAAAATGATAAAACTAATATAAAAAAAATAAGAGATTTAATGCAAGAATTTAAAAAAAAAGTATAATTATGTCTTTTGAAGATATGTTGGAACGATTAGAAATGACGGAAAGGGATTATATTCAAATAATTAGAAGCACGATATCAAATACTAAGATATTTTTGAAAAGACAAAGCAACGAAGTTGCAATTAATGCATATAATAAAACTATATTGACTCTTCTTGAATCAAATATGGATATACAATCCGTTTTAGATCCATATAATTGTGCTTCATACATGATTAATTATGTAACAAAAGTGGATGCAGGACTATCACGATTACTAAGAGAAGCAGCAAAAGATTTGGAAAATGGAAATTTGAATATTAGACAAAAGTTTAGAAAGATTGCTAACGTTTTTATAAACGGTAATACTATGTCTGCACAAGAAGCCGTTTATCATGTACTCGGTTTGCCACTTTCATTGTGCAGTAGAGCTCTTGTTTATATTAACACTGTACCGCAAAAAGAGCGTGTCCGTATGTTGAAAAATGACAAACATTTAAAAGATTATATACGAGTCGTATGCGTATATACGAATCGTATGCGTATTTCAAGATCAGAACAAGATACCAATATCAAACAAAAAGATGTTTGAAATATTCACGATGGATATTTCTTTTAATAAGAGAAAATATACCCCTCTCTTGCCTGAAGTCGCTATCAAGTTGTTAGAGTGCATTATTATCAGTTCAATTCTTTTAAACTGTTTATCAATGTTTATCGTGTTATCTTTTTGTTATAATAAACTTAATTAAGTGTTTCTTAAATGAGTTTATATATTTTTAAAAATATTGTACAACCTTTACCTTCTGCAATTTTTGAGATATAGAGTTAATTTTTTTTACATGGATAGAGTATCATTCAAAGATGGTCGGTATTGAATTTGATGAGAATCAATGAAAAGGTTCATTTTTTATAAAATTTTTAATTTTTTGAGAAATGTCTGTATACATTGTAACTTTCGCAAATTTTGAGATATCACTGAATTTGGTGAGTATCGGTGAAAGAAGTCATTTTTTACAAAATTTTGAATTTTTTGGGAAATGTCTGTACACGCTGTAACTTTCAGAAAATTTAAGATATTGGATTAAATTTTTTTACATGAATAGAGTATTATTAAAGGATGGTTCGTACTGAATTTGGTGAGTATCGGTGAAAGAAGTCATTTTTTACAAAATTTTGAATTTTTTGAGAAAAAATTGGCGCGTAACAATTTGGCTATAAATGGCGGATTGTCCTAACTCTGATTAAAGGAACTCTATTCGGAGTTTGTAAGGTTCATAGACATATAGAATGGACTGAGCGTTGCGATAGACAAACGCGTGCTCGCTGTAGAGAGAGGTACTATATGGGAGGCCTATTTTGTTTCCTAGTATCTCATTGGTGATTTTGTCCCCCTCCATATAGAAAATCACCAATGAGATGCTAGGAAAAAAGACAAACATAGGCCTCCCATATAGTACCTCTTTTTCTACAGCAAGCGCACGTTTGTCTATCTCACAATGCTCAATCCAGTCTATATATCTATGGTACTGACAGAGAATATCGGAACCATGAAGGAAGAGTAAGGAGAGTTATCTTGATAGTGTAGAAAGAAAAAAAGTTGGTCACGAAAAATGTTCCGTATGTGGCCAGGTTTGCCAAATGGAATAATTTGGACCATTTTGTCGCCATCTTGAATATTCATATGTTATAGCCCGAAAAGGCTATATACGAATCACTAGATACATATTATTTTAGAGATATATTATTTTATACGATAAGACATTGCTCAACGTGTAACGCGAATACAGATCACGTTACGAACGTTGACCGAGCGAAGCGCTGACAACGCGAGCCACGCGCGAAGCCCGAGCGACCGCGCA